CTGAACGGCGTTTCTCACAGACGGTGCTGCAGTCGTGGATTCGAGTCCTGGGGTTCACACGTTCGTCTGGCCTGAAGCGGGACGTGAAAATCGGGCGGTGTTTGACTTAACTTCCCTTTTATCGTCACGGTGCACCTCACCGGAAGATGCCATATAATATCTTTAACCCTGATTTGTTCCCTGATGCACTGTGCTTCTTCTTGTCTCTTAAGGTTACACTTATCATTTTCCTTCCCATCGCTCGCTGTGTTGTCCTCAATTTAAGCTGATCCCTCTTTGTAAGCCTTCAGGTTTCTGCTCTTTAGGTAAGTACCGGCAAGATGCAGCTGTTATATACCTCCCTCTTGAGGAATGATGGGCGCAAAGTATAGGGGTCCTTACATGGATACTGTACAAAATTTTCGCTGCCGAGATAAATGGCACAATTTAAAAATTGCATGCTCGAAACACAAGACAACCTTCATTTCAGCCAGAGACCAGCAGAAAAATAATTAATTTAATGTATCTTTCGCAAATCGGCGCGTCTAGCGGCTGCAAGGACAAAGATTACGGGACATTTGCCGCATTCTTACACGCCAACCATTCTCGCTGCAAAATTCGCTTACTACTCGACATTACAAGCTGTCACCGTAGCTGCCCTAGCTAATTGCTTCATGTCTCTATCAATATGTGTTCTCAACCAGGAGATGACTGGCAGCTAACAACACCATAGCCACGTGGTAGCTCTCGGCCGTATATTTGTTTTCCCAACTGGAGCTTTTGTCCGTGTCTACAAGTTTTTTGTTGGTGTTGTCTGCTGCTATGTAATGTGAACGGTGAAGCACCTTGCGCAGGGCAGAAAGCCTGAGTGCTTCTCTGCCTTAGGGTGTACGAAAGGCAATGTCTGGAGAAACGAGCTCTTTCATGCCTTCTCGACCGAGCCAAAGCTTCGAAGGATATGGATTCGCGCTGCATGGCCGTCGGAGGCTACGTGAGTGCCTTCAAAGCGCCAGTTTTTTGTGCTCCAGATGCTTCGAAGATGGTGACTACGAGATAAGCTATGAAATATTGCTGAAGCTCAGCAGCACAGCTTGCCAAATCTGTGAACTATAGCACACCAGCGGTGACATTACTATGCATCTGCACTGTATGACGGAGCCCAGTTGCTAACAGGGCGAAAATGAGTGCACCCCCACGAAGTGTGCTCAGTTTGGCCAGTCATTTTTCTTCTTATCAGCACACTGCAAATAAACCACGTTCTACTGCTTATCACATCAGTGCAAGCATGGGAATATCCTGTAATATCATTTGCTCGATTTGTGGCTGTAACGTTGGTCTTCAGAAAAGAAAATACAGTAAAATCACGTAAATTTGACCCCCGTTGATTCGGAATTTCTGTCAATTCGGCCACGACGTCTAGTCACGTCCAAAATGTACATTGTTTTATCACTGAAAACTTTCATTAATTCAGCTGCGCTTCGGTTTATTCGAACGCCCGACCACGGTTGAGTCACGGCGGGAAAGCAGCAGCCAATTCTGCCGGCCCAATCGACGCTGAACCTAAACAACTTTGGGATCGAATTGCGGCCACTGAGATTCAAAACTTCGTCCATAGGTAGTACATCTCAGAGGCACCCCCCCCCCCCCCCCCCCCCCCCCCCCCAAAAAAAAAAAAAAGAAACCACATGGTGGTTTAAACAACCAAAATGGAAGGCAGTGCATCGTTACTGTCATTAGCAACCGGCAACCTACGGATTTGCTTTTCCTTTTTCTCTTGCGCGTCGAACACGTTTGCGTGACGATTGAGTTGGATTGCTCACCTCTAGTGTGCTATGAATTATTTGTCCGAACGTGATCAGTGCCATCTACAGTCTTAAATGTTTGCTATTTTTTTTAAAGGTTGGCTGGTTTTTAATACGTTTCTATCACCATGCATTTTTTTTGTATGTGTGTGTGTGTTTGTGTTGTCTACTCAATACGCGTGCGCGTGATCATCGCGTGAGCGATGCTGGGATGGCTTCCCCTCCGTCTCCTGCCGCCCCAACCGCCCTAACTCCCGCAGCGAAGAGGGCGAAGTATGAAGCAAAGGATTGGGCTGCGAAGGTGAAAATATTGGAGGTGTTGCAAGCGGGAGCATCTCGGAAAGGAGTGATGAAAAAGTTCAATGCGAAGAAAAGCACGCTGAGGGATTACGTGAAGAACAAAGAGCAGATTATTCAAACGTATCACGGAGACATGTTTGGCGACCAAAGGAAGAGGCTTCGAACAGCAGCGCTTCTCAAGCTAGAAGAAGTGCTGTTGCGCTGGATTGCCATTTCGTGCGATGAGTGTTTGCCCTTGAGCGGCCCCCTTATCTGTGCACAAGCAGAGAAGTTTGCGGTGACCATGAACATTGACTCCTTCAGTACGTCAGAAGACTGGCTTGACCGCTTCAAGAAGCGACGCGGGCTGGTGTTCCGTAACGTGTGTGGTGAAAGAGGTGCGGTTGACGAAAATGTTGTTCAGGACAGGCGCTCTGGACTATCCGTACGGCTTTCTACATTCCGTACGGCTTCGTGCACGACGCTGCTGATCCGGGTGTGGTGGCCGATGAGGACACTAGTTAAGAGCAAGACGGCCGCCATGTGAGCATCATGCCAGCTAATGTGCCTCTGGGTGATTACTTCGCAATTCACAGCGATGTTGCCATGGCCAACACTGTGACCGACGGTGATATCGTCTCCGAAGTCTTGGACAATGAAGCGGAATCGACTGACGAAGATGTAAGTGATGCTGATGAGCGTCCACGTCACAATATGACGGAGGCTGCGCATGCGTTGGCCGTTTTGGAGGACATACGCATGCTTTCTTCAGGCAGTATGCGCGGACTAAGCCACCTGCAGGAACTTCGCAAAATTGTGACTTGGTCGCACTTTGCATTTCTGAAGCAAACCACGATCACAGACTTTTTTTCAGAAATAAGTCTGATGGTGTAGGAGACATTTTTCAAGTGTTTTGTTCGTATTCGCAATAATTCGTACCCTCGGTTAATTCGGACATTCTCTCCGGTCCCGTAAAGTCAGAATTAACAGGGTTTACAACCGAAACTATTCGCCTGCTCATGCTGTCAAGCCTAGCTGAGCACGCTTTGACAAGTGAGCCTTTACTGTTTACACTAGAATGAAAACATACTATTGCCCACCTATGCATCAGCTGCATACCGGTTATTTTTATTCGGCGGATTAAACGATATAAACAGGAACCACTCTCTGTGTGTCTTCGCATTGCTTGTTGGACCGTAGCTGCTAAAATTCTCGTCAGGCTGCTCTATGTGTCCATCCGCCAGATCAGTTTTTTCCCTCTACACGATACATGGATTAGAATTAGAATGTTTTAGGTAGCCGGCGGATCTCGCCTTGCATAATATACAGTAAATGACCCACCCTGTTGCCTCTTTGCTAATTGTAACTAATGTCCTTTTGTTTGTTTTTGAACTAAGCATGCATCTCCCACTAAGGGGAATCATGTGTGGATGCGAAGCAGCGAGGAGATTTTTCGCTTGAGCGGGCGTTGGTGTACTTTTTTGAGAGCTTGTGCTGGTGCTAAGGCTGACACTGGCGGCAGCATCGGTGCCGGCGCTCTTCGTGGCGTTGCACAGAAGAGATGAAGGCGCACACGCACCGGGATTTTATACCGCAGAACTACTGCCCTACAGAGTAGGCAGCTGTTGCATCATGCACCTGTCGTGCGTGCCGCTCTGTGGAGTAGAGGATTCCTAAAGGAGAAAGACTGTTCGCTTTATGTGCGTTCAAACCTCGCGAATGGTAGAAAGGGTGAAGTGAAAGAGATGACACGCGACGAGCAGTGACAGGCTAGGGAAAGAGTGACGTCAACGCGCGCACGGTGCGGATGGAGGAACACTGGCCAGTCAAAGAGCTGCTTCGCACCCAAATGTCACATGTTGCATGACGTAAGCCTGCATAAGCTGGCGGCCTCTGTGCTATTCAACATGCAGTATTGTGCTGGCTCCCTATATGACTGCACCATACCCCTACATAATTGTCACTCATCACCAGTCACATGCCAGGTCCGTAAAATTCAAAAACTTCAACATAAGTCATGACACCTGCTTCCTGAAGATCCAGTGACCACGCGGAAACACAATATCAGTTACATTGTCGCAAGGCAAGCCTAATAATTCCAGTTCCTCAAATAAATATTCACTTTCCTTCTTAATTTCACGACACTTAAGCAAATGGGGTTCTGTATCACAACTTTCCTTGCAATTCCGGCAGAATGGTGTCGCAGAGAGTCTGATCTAGTGGAGCTATGCTGGTGTACGCGCTGACCCCATTCGGATGTGATGAAGCAAGCAAACCTCTTACCTTGATGGCCCTTTTGTCACAAATGGCTGGTGAGGCGCCAGCCATAATGAGTGCAAATGCTTCCTGGCAGCTTCTCTTAAAATAAGCTTATTGTGTTTAAGAGCATTCTTCGTTGGTGTAAGTTCCAAAGCACTCTGGGCAAGTCTCTCAGTCGCCCTATTACCCGCTATTACCAAACCCCCTAATACCAAAGGGCCTGATTCGTTTGAACCAGGCCCTTGATAACCCTTGATAATCTGCCCCTAATTATGGCTCGTTAGCAGATTCCTCTGCATTTTTACTGAGTTTCAGCTTGTATTATCCACTACGACATGCATACCTACGTTGTGCGTCGAAGCGTCTGACAACATTATTTTTCTTTTTAAAGGAGATGACCTTCTCTCTACTCCTGACTTCTTTAATAATGCCGCAGCACCCTTACCGCCGACAGGTGGCGAAACATACTCGGAAACTCTCCCTTTGGTCTCATGGCGGGTGAGAAAGCCGTAAGGAAAGAAGCGTGCACAGGTGCAGTCTAGCCTGTTCGTGGGTGGGTTTAAGCACAGCAGAGAGGATCTTTTTGGTGGCTAAGGGCGATTCCACACCAAGTCTAGCATAGGCATGTCATAATGAGGGTAATTTTTGTTTTACTCCTGATATGTGATGTTGCTTTTGCAGGGGATCGACAGCGAGTGGTCGTGCCAGCGGCAGCAGCCCAGCGGCCATTTGGGTTGACCCAGTACCAGGAGTACCTGTACTGGACTGACCTGGAAGGGCACAGCATCGAGCGGGCTCTCAAGAGCACAGGTGCCAATCGCAGTCGTCTGCTGGGACAGCTCAAGTACATCGACGATCTGCTTGTCTTCCATACCTCCCGTCAAGCTGGTCAGTGTCAGGCATGGCCACATTTAGGGTGATGCTTTCAAGAGATGTCACTATTTGGCAGCAGGAAGTCTCTCTTTAGGAAGTATCATATAAGCCCGCATATAACCTGTCTGTTTTTTTTTTTTTTTTTCTATATTCTGGGTACGAAATTTCGGCTCCGCACTATATAGGGGTCCGAAAAATTTCGATAATGCGAGCTGAAGCTCAGTAAAAATGCGGTAAATTGGCTAACGACGCATAATGCATGAAGCATAAAGCATTGCCAACGATCATATAGATATATAGAGATAAACAACATTGCATCTGTTCTGCAAGCAGCGAGCACCAAACACATTTGGCATTGCTCTCATTGGACAATGAGGCTGCAATTAAAAGTCGCTTACAGAAATCACGAGCACACCTTCCCTTTGCTAGCTATATTCTATTTATTTATTTTTACAAATACATTTGTAGTGGCTTTCAGGGCTAAAAGCTGCAGTCTGCTGCTTGATAGCTCTTTGAAACACGTACGCGACTTGTGTCTCTAAAACGGGTAAAAATAAAAGTAAAAAAATGTGGAATTTCGCTGCTGAATAACCCCCTTGACGGCATGCCCTGGAGAAGTGGTTCGCATTGTCAAGGTGTTAACACAACTTGTAAACATAATTCCGGAGACCCCGAGCTGTTTTGCGTTCCTTCGTACTGCAAGCCACATCCATGAATAATGTGAAGAATACACCAGCTCACGCTCGCAAGCCGCTTACTTTCGAACTAAACTCTCTTGCAAATTATTTCTGCGCTATACTTCAAGTTCATGGAAGAACATGTTTAGGAAAAGAAACTGACATCCCAACTTTTCAGCAACATACCTGCAAAGCTTCCCGGATTGGCCGGGAGACTCTTGGATTTCGACTGTTTCTTCCGTTTGTATGGTTGTCATGAAAATCTCCCTGAAATCGAAATTTCTGTGCATGATCTGGCCGCATTGGCAAAGAAGCAGCTCAATTTGCTCCAGGCCTTTCGAACCTGCCCCATTTTATTATAAATGAGTTTAAGAGGCGTTCATCTGAACATACAGTAGAATATCAGTGATCCGAAACCGCGGCAGACACGAATTTGTCAAAATCTCCGGCCAAATTCTACTATGTCCATTGGGCCTAAATTCCAATGCTTCGAACACATTTCCTACTTGCGGCGGGTGATATGAACTTTAGTACGGAAACTGTCGAACGAAGGCCGAGAGCAGCATACTCGTAGCTTTAGAAGTACGCGTGCAACCAGCGTACGCACTGTCTTCTACAGTGCGTGTGATTGTCGTGGCCACAACTGCTGTGGACGAAACCGCGGTCGCTGTTGACACGATCATGTGTGGCGACAACGTAACTGACAGAACCCCGAAAGTGTGCGCTCAACCAGTCAAATCGACGCTGCTTTCCGCAAACTCTGCGGACAGAACTGCGACAGATGCGATCTTGGATCGCATAAAACGATTTGGTTTTGGCGCCTGCGCATCCAAGCGCACGAGGTTTGTAAAAAGAACTACCTGTTTGCCGCAACCACCACGGACAAAACCACGGTCGCGGCGACGCGATAGCGGTGTGCTAGCTCGGAGGGCGCGCAGCGGTAGGTTAAAGGCCTAAATACGTAAAAAAAACAATAACAAAAGTCGCAGCTTTATCGTAATTGCGAAGAAATGAATTTGACAGCAACAACTTGGAGTGGCATGTTGAGAACGGCAACCAGATCATAACGTGCAGCGTGCTTCTCTCGCACAGATGACGCACGAAAACGATACACACAGGACAAGAGCAAACTAACAATGTTTACCGCTCGGCACGTAACGCACTCTTCAAACAAAAACGATGCACGATACGTAATCACAGGTACTATGAGTACAAACTAACAAGTGTCCCAGTTGTTATACCTTGCTGTGTATGAAAAGCGTGCTCTTTTTGGAAACGGGGCCTGTGTAGAGACCAAAGTGACCTTTGTGGGCCCGGCAGCTAACGCAGTCGTTACGGTAAAAGCCAAAGGCACACGATTCTCCCCACCAAAGGATAAGCGCGTGCGCACAAGCATCTAAATCCCCTTCTCCCCCTCCAATCCGTGGGGCAAAGTACGCGTGAAAGATAAGCACGCATCGCGGCGAAGCTGGTTTATTTTTCCTACTTGAGTGTTTATATATGTATATAGATACGTATACATACGGTGAGTGAAGACGACGACGGCAAGAAAACCAGCCTAAACGGTCCATATAATTGCTATTATAATGAATAAAAAGGCCCAGACGCATTTTGGCATTCCTGGCATAAGTAAGAATCTAGTAGTGAGCAAAAATTTTGACCCGTGCTTTTGTGGCAGTCAGCTGCGCCATCCCGTTTGTTCACGTGTGTCTTGGGAAGACAAAAGCGAGTTGTTTCGATGGAAACAGATTCTGTTAGTTGTGTTCATCCTTTGAGACTTTCACGTTTGTGGGAAACCCTATCTTCGTGTGTTCGGCCACTCCGAGCCACCATAAAACTGCAACGCTGATGGTGGCGCTTGCGATTGAACCCCCCCCCCCCCCTTGTTTTTTGCGATGTTTGTTTGTTTGCCTTCGGGCGTTTTTTTGTTTGTTGTTTTCTTTTGTGCTGGAAAAAACTAGAGGTAAATAATTCAGCCTCCCCCGCTACCCTTTGCGGGATTCTCCGGCGTTCAGAATCCTTGAACTTGGCAGGTATGCAGCAAGTAAATAGCTCTTTTTTTTTCAATTCTCCTGTGGCTTTTCAAACAGGTTGTTGCCGATTTCTCTTTCTTTCTAGTGAGACTTGCTTTATTTTGGTATATGCCCAACGTGGCTGCATTTTGTTCAGAGCTTTCTCAGTGTTCAGCCTGCAGCGATTTTTCGACTCGGGAAGGCGGTCGTACGACCTTCAGTACGAGCAGTATGTATGAATATATATTAGATGTGCTGTGTATTGTTGTGTTTCGTATTGCAAGTCCTGTTCAAGGAAAATGCCAAGTGTGTTTTTTTTTTTTCTTTCACTAATTCCCAAGCAATGTTGAACTGTGCTCTAAATGAAAAAAGAATATTGTGAGAGAGAGCCTCATTATCAACGACAAGTCTACATTGACTGTCCTATGCAGCAGACACTTCCGCGATGTAAATTATGTGGCTGCGTGCAGCAACAGAAAACTTCTTCCCGACTCTGCGCCCACTCTCTTTGAGGACTATCTTTCCTACATGAAACCAAGTGCTAAGAAGCCCCGCAAAGATCCTGCTTCACGAGCTTCGCCCCTACGCCAAACATCAAGGAAGCGAAAGGCGGAGACCAATGAACAAGACCTGGATGTTGCGACTTCACAAGATGCTTTCACTGAACAAGAAGCAGTAAGTGTTTGTACGCAAACAATGAACAGATCGCGCGTGTCAATACCTGGCTATGATAGGAAGATTACGCTCCCAAGTGTCGTTGAAACAGAGGAAAAGGCGTTCGCATATTACCGCGAAAGCAAGCACCACATGTGTGTTAAGAAAATCGCAACAGATGCACAGAAAGGAGCGAAAAAGGCACTGTTTCTTTTTTATAATATAGAATGTTATGGAGATAAGCATTCAGCGTACCCAGAAGAAATTGTTAGGGAGTGTGTGATATGGCACTTTCTGTCCCCAAAAGGCAACGATCACGCTCGCACTTCGGGGATTCTGACACTGCCAGAAAAGTGCACTCTGAGAGGTATATAGGTCCAAGCCCAGCATCATCGGGTATGAGCAATGCTATGAAGGACTGCTCTGGTTCACGAGGCCTCGCTACTCAGCAGCAAACAACATATGGCCTCATTAATACTAGATGAAGTGAGCATAAAACAAAAGTTCATTTATGATAGTGAGGCTGGTGCAGTCTTTGGCCTCAAGGACCAGCAAGAGAGTAGCATGGCGAATACAGCGAAAGAAGCCCTTGCGAACAGAGTCCTCTGCTTTGTGCTGCATGGTACCACGAGTCTGTACAAGTTTCCATGCTCGTACTACTTCACAAAGCAACTGAGCGGTAGAGACCGCTTTGCATGGACGAAAGAGGTCATTGCTGCAGCCGAATCATGTGGTTTTATCATTATTCGAATTGTCACGAACAATTATTCAGCAACATGGTGGTGTTTAGGCACATGGGTAACGGCAACCTCAACACAGTTGTATGTCGTCAACACGACGCCAACCGCGTTATTTTCACAAGTTTTGACCGGTAAAACATGCTCAAAAACGTTAAAAGCCAGTTCCTCGAACATGAACTTACAGATGGCAAAAGAGTGATTAGTGGTACGTTTGTGCAGAAATTATACAAGCATCAAATACACAAGACAGTGAAGTTGGTCTAAAACTTGACGAGGAAACACGTCTACCCTCCCAATTCGGAAAAAATGAATATACTGCGAGCAGTTCAAGTTTTCGCCCCTCAAGTGTCTGCAGCCGTGGAGCACCTTCAGCGAAATTCCACGGGTGCTGCCAGAGATTTCAAGGGAGCAAGTTCAACCTTTTTCTTCGTGAAGTCGATGAAAAAATGATTTGACATCCATGACACTTCATTCAATGGAAGCGGCCACAAAGCTCCCATTTTTAGGGGCGATGACAATCGCCTACTGTGGCTGAAGGATGGGTTTATCTCATATGTGGAAAAAATACAGAAGAGTTCCATCAGATCAGTGAGTGCTGGCTTGACCAAGGAGACGTACGAAGCCTTGCTTGTTACAACAAGATGGACAGTGGAAACAACAGAATCAATCCTGGAGCAAGGCGTCAGTTATGTTCTGACAAAGAAATTGAACTGTGACCCCATCGAAGCAATCTTCGGAAGGGTGCTGTCAATGTGCGGCGGGAATGACATGCTGGATGCTAGAGCCGTCACCGCTGCACTGGACCACATCGTGAAGTTGTACATCTCAAGACTGAAAAAAAAAAAAAAAAAAAAATCAAGTTATCAAATGTGGAAGTTGAAGAAAAGGCTGTGATGATGTCGAATTTACTTGATAAAGACCTGAGGTCTTTG